GTGATTTATTCCCAACACCTGCTCCTGACACCTAGTGCATTCTATTTTGGACTACAACTCCCATCAACTCTAGCTTAGTCAGGGCTGGCTGGGGCTGATGGGAGTTGTAGCCCAATAGATCTGCAGCGCACTAGGTTCGGGAAGTCTGCCTTAGGCTACTGAATTTGCTGCAAATAATAAAGGGTTCCAACTTGAGAGCAAGGAAGCATCTTAATCTATACGGTGTTCGGGGAAATACCGTATTTTTCGCCCAATAGGACGCACTTTTGCGTCCTATGGGGCGAATGCAGGCTTTCGCTGAAGCCTGGAGAGCGAGAGGGGTCAGTGTGCACCGACCCCTCTCACTCTCCAGGCTTCAGGAAGCTATCTGCAAGGCTTGCGGGCAGCAGGCTGCAGCCTGAAGTACGGGGCGCGCTCTGGAGCGCACCTCGGGCTTCGAGCAGATGTCTGCAAGCCTTGGGAGCCCGGCGGGAGTTCCCGCCAGGCTCACAAGGCTTGCGGATAGCAGCCTGTTCTGGGGGCTGGGGTCGGGGGAAGCTCGGGCTTCCCCTGCCCCAGCCCCGCGACTGGGGGGGGGAATAAATTTTTATTTATTTATTTCCCCCCAAAAAAACTAGGTGCGCCCTATGGGCCAGTGCACCCTATAGGGCGAAAAATACGGTAGTTGTATGCATACAGGTAGAACCACATGGCTTCTCCCGGCAAGACATTGCCCAAACTGAGGAAGCTGGCACCAAGCTTTTCTACTTTCTGGTAGCTCCTGATTGACCCTCCTCTATCACTTGATTTCCCAGGCCAGGACTTGTCAGGGCTGTTACGAATCTCCTGGCTAGAAATGTCTGTAGGTTCTCCCCTGCAGCCAGCAAGCCCTTGTGGCAAAGGGAGCCAGTGTTTGATCTCAGTGGCTCCTGTTTCCAAGCCCTACAGGATCGGGCTAGGAGCACAGGGCAAGGCTGAGCCTAATATTAAGCACTCCCAACACTTTTTGATTACTGCACATTAAACATGCTCCTAGATTTCTCCCATTGGAACCAGTGTGGCTTAAAGATGTGCTAGCTTTGGGTTGCATGCTGGGTTATGGTATCTCCCAAAGGTCTTTGCTTTGTTCATTCATAGCCAATCTATTGCCGTTGGAATTTGAGCTCCTTGATTCTCTTCGGTTCCTTTGGAGTGCCAGGTCTGGGTTGCAGAATCCCAATATCTTTTCATTCACTTGTAGTGGAAGTTTTGGAAACGGACGGAAAGGTTAACTTCCAGCAGGAAACCTGGCAGCAAGCTATGCATGGTACTTCGAAGGCAGCAGCTTGATTGCATTGCTTTCAAGACAGCCATCATTTCCCATATAATTTTCTGAATCACCGTAATGAGGAATAATTTGGCTTCCAGGATCCCTTCCATTGTCCCTGCATTGTGCACAAAAGACTTCTTGTAAAACTTTCTGAAACTCCTTTGGTTCAGGGGAAGGTCATGAGCAACTTGTTGACGGGTTGCTGGCAAAGTAGGAGGGGGGTCTGAGTCCGCCTCTCCCTGCTGTGAACTCCATCCTCTCTAGGCTGATAGGTGGCTGGAGGCGGACAACATGCCCAGTGCTTTTCTGAAAACATGGTCAGTGTGGAGACATGGTGGCGCTGCAGGTTCGGGCATGTGGAGAATGCCAGTGCCAGCAGCAGAAAACCCAAATGGCCCTCTCTCACTTCTGGCTCTCAGTGGTAAAAATACAAAAAGAGTGATCATGGAACTTCTAAGTGTGGTGAAAATGGGTTGAGCACACGTTAATCGTATTTCATTTTTAAATTTGGTTTTACAAATTCATTCACACAAATAATGTTACTTCAAATATTAGAATTTCACACAAGATTCTTCTGAATTCTAGAACTCCCCTCCTCCCCTCCGTGGGTTCTTTAAATAACTTTTTCAACTGCATATTATAAGTCCATCTAATTAACAGTACTCCATTGTATCCAAAATCTACGTATCATTGCAAGAGTAATTTAAAGCCTGCCAAAGTGTTTTACAGCATCTTAAAAAGCAGAGACATCACCTTGCCAACAAAGGTCCATATAGTTAAAGCTATGGTTTTCCCAGTAGTGATGTATGGAAGTGAGAGCTGGACCATAAAGAAGGCTGATCGCCGAAGAATTGATGCTTTTGAATTATGGTGCTGGAGGAGACTCTTGAGAGCCCCATGGTCTGCAAGAAGATCAAACCTATCCATTCTTAAGAAAATCAGCCCTGAGTGCTCACTGGAAGGACAGATCCTGAAGCTGAGGCTCCAATACTTTGGCCACCTCATGAGGAGAGAAGACTCCCTGGAAAAGACCCCGGTGTTGGGAAAGATGGAGGGCACAAGGAGAAGGGGACGGCAGAGGACGAGATGGTTGGACAGTGTTCCCGAAGCTACCAGCATGAGTTTGACCAAACTGCAGGAGGCAGTGGAAGACAGGAGTGCCTGGCGTGCTCTGGTCCATGGGGTCACGAAGAGTCGGACATGACTAAATGACTAAACAACAACAACAAAAGTGTTTGAGTGTTTACAGTGGTCTTTCAAATATAATATATATTTGTCCCATTCTCTGTTGAAGTTTTTTTTAAAAAAAGCTTTATTCCAAAACTGAAAAAGAATTGCAAACATCAAATTCAAATTCCATATTTGTTTTGTAACATAAGCCTATTACATAGTTGACTAGATTAAAATATACCTAATTGCTATAGACTTCCCTTTGCTATATATAAATGCAACACAATTAGAAATATTATATTAGAAATTTTTATAAATTCCCTATAAATTTTATAAATTTTGATCCTCCTGTTTTCTGATTTTCCCAGTTAATCTTGCCATCTCTGTATAGTCCAGTAATTTCACCTGCCAGTTGAATGGCGAGCTATAGTTAAAACAAACCAGGGTTTGTAAGTCAACAGCAAACCATGGCTTCAGATCCTGGTTTGTTGGTAGTAAGCAAACCATGAGAACCAGCGTGGTGTAGTGGTTAGGAGCAGTGGACTCATAATCTGGGGAACCAGGTTCGCTTCCCTGTTCCTCCACATTCAACTGCTGGGTGACCTTGGGCTAGTCACACTTCTCTGAAGTCTCTCAGCCTCACTCACCTCACAGAGTGTTTGTTGTGGTAGAGGAAGGGAAAGGAGATTGTGAGCCGCTTTGAGACTCCTTAAGGGGAGTGAAAGGCAGGATATCAAGTCCAAAGTCCTCCTCCTCCTCCCTCCTCTTCTTCTTCTTCTTCTTCTTCTTCTTCTTCTAGGTGCTGGGCAGGGTGCACACATAATGCTAAGCCATGGTTTAATAAATCATACTTGATTTAGTATTATAGGAGGCTCAGACTTAGCTTGCTTTGAAGGAAATGTGGTGCCTGAAGGCAGTTTCACCCCTTTATCTCATATCGGAACCAACTCTGGACATTTGCCGTGCTTTCAGAAATAGTTTCCAAGTGACAGAGTGGTTTCGGCAACTGAGCGTCCAGGCAGTCCTCTCAAGCGAAACATTTTCTGTGCTTGTTAGGGAAGGCTGTACAGGAGTCTTCGAGGCAATGAAGCAAGGCACAAGCCTTGGGAGGGGAAGGAAATGTGTTCAACACCTCAGTGCTTGAAAATAAAAGCAGGATGAACATAAGGGAAGCAGGGAAGAGAAGCCACACTGAGTCTGGTAATTGCTGTTAATTGTCTACTTCAACCGCCTAAGAGCCCGGTCTGCTGCTACTTCTACATTGAACAGGCAATCTGCCTCTTTCTTCTTCCATGTCCATAATGCACAAACAAGTATAGTTATTCAATTAATCAAGTCAATGCATCTTTAATAACTATTTTTTACATGAATATCTACTCACTCCCCCCCCCAATCTAATCCACCCCTGCCTCCAGTCTCCACAGAATGATTCTCTCCTTGCTATAAGGTAAAGGGACCCCTGACTGTTAGGTCCAGTTGTGGATGACTCTGGGGTTGCATGCTCATCTCGCTGTATAGCAGGGGTTGGCAAAGTTTTTGTGGCTTGGGCCAGTTCACAGTCCCGCAGATGCCGTGGTGGGCCGGAGTGTGTGTGTGTGTGTGTGCGCGCGTGTACACGCAAGTGCAAATACTATTTCTGGCGCTCCTTCCAGCGTGGAGGAGGCGTGTGCAGCTTCCCATTGGCTGCAGGAGCTTCCTGCAGCCAATGGGAAGCTGGCCATCATTGTGGAAGGCAGTTCCCACTCTGCTCCATGCCGGGAGCCAACCGAGTGGGTGGCAGGGGTCCATGAGCTGGTTGAACAATCCCCATGGCCAATTGTGGCCCATGGGCCTTAGGTTGCCGACCTCTGCTCTATAGGCTGAGGGAGCCAGCGTTTGTCTGCAGACAGCTTCCGGGTCATGTGGCCAGCATGACTAAGCCGCTTCTGGCGTACCAGAGCAGTGCACGGAAATGCTGTTTACCTTCCCGCCGGATCGTTACCTATTTATCTACTTGCACTTTGATGTGTTTTTGAACTGCTAGGTTGGCAGGAACAGGGACCGAACAATGGGCGCTCACCCCGTTGCAGGGATTCAAACCGCCGACCTTCTGATCAGCAAGTCCTAGGCTCTGTGGTTTAGACCACAGCGCCACCCACATCCCACTCGCCACCCATGTCCTTGCTACAGCTATCCATAATCATTACATCCCAGATTTTCATCCCTTGGAGAAAAGTATCCATTTAGCTATTAAAACAGGTCAATATCAACACGACAGGCCAAAGCATATGGCAGAAGCTTCTGAAACATTGTGATGGTCATAGCCTGATATCCCAGTTGCTAGAAGCACAGGAGGGGAGAGTGGCTCTTGTGCTCAGATCCTGCTTACGGTTTTCCTGCAGGCATTTGCTCAGTCACTATGAAAACAGGATGCTGGACCAGGTGAGCCGTTGGCCTGATCCAGCCAGCTCTTCGTACATTCCTATGACTGTGCTGTGCTTTGGGCAGCGGTCTCATAGACTTATCTCATGTTCATGCCAACGTTCTCTTCTCCTTTCTGCAGATTGCCACCCTTCCTGTGCACAGTGCATGGCAGATCTCCAGGACACAGGAAGCATCTGCTTGAAGTGCCAAAACCTCCATCATTTGCTCCTGAGAGAACGCTGCTTGCCTGAGTGCCCCACGGGGTATTACAAGGCTGGCGGAGAGTGTCGAAGTGAGTAGCATCTGAAAAAAATACCTTCAACCCTGTATACCTAGAGGAGCATCTCCACCCCTATTGTTTAGCCCAGACACTGAGGTCCAGCTCAGAAGGCCTTCTGGGGGTTCCCTCATTGCGAGAAGTGAGGTTACAGGGAACCAGGCAGAGGGCCTTCTCGGTGGTGGCACCCGCCCTGTAGAACTCCCTCCCAACAGATGTCAAAGAAATAAAAGAACCACACAACTTTTAGAAGACATCTGAAAGCAGCCCTGTGTAGAGCAAACCCAGTCAGAGGGTCCTAATAATAATAATAATAATAATAATAATAATAATAATAATAATAATACCTGGGTTGCCCAGTGAGCTTCATGGCTGAATCAGGATTTGATTCCAGCCTCCTCCTCTCTAAACCCAACACACTTTTCTCCCTGATGCACAGAGTTATGGTAACGCTCTTAATGAGAGAGTTTGCAGAGAGGCTGCTTCTCACAGACGTACGTTTCCACAATGTCTTTCCCCTCCAGAGTGTGACACTTCGTGTAGAACTTGCCAAGGAGAGGGGCCTTCCTCCTGCACCTCCTGCGATTCGAACCTTGTTCTCTCTCACATCGGCACGTGCGTCTCGGCCTGCTTCCTTGGGTTCTACAGGGATGAGAACCAGCATTGCAAACGTACGTCCTTCTGCTTCTTGCTTTATCTGTTTGTTGCTTAAACAAAGAAAAAACAGAAAGATGATTTAGATCAACATTGCAAGGGGTTATCAGGCATAGCCAAACTTGGCCCTCCAGCTGTTTTGGGACTACAACTCCCATCATCCCTAGCTAACAGGACCAGTGGTCAGGGATGATGGGAATTGTAGTCCCAAAACAGCTGGAGGGCCAAGTTTGGCCATGCCTGGATTAGATAATCCATGGGGCCGTTTTCAACTCTAAAATTCTATGGTTCTAAGTTGCTGTGATTCAGATCCAAGCATATCAGCCTTGAAATAGCCTCCAAAACTGGAGTGGGGAAGAGTTTTTAAGGGGCAGGGAGAAATAGCTGAAATGGGGGAATTAACTTAACATTTATATTTAAGACACTTCACAAAACAGGTTTGCATTTTAAAAAACAGCACTTCGTGTTAATAAGTAATGTTAATAAGACATGCAGTGTCAAGACAGCTCTGTCTTAACTAGCTTACATTGCAAATTTATTTTGCCTTTTCTTTGTCATTTTGAATAATGTGTCAGTGGTATATTTTGAGGTTTGCAAATGTGCCTCATCAAACATCTAATTATTAGCTACTTCTTCACTCTGTTAATCCACACAGCTTCTTAGATGTGTTGCAAATGTGAATTAATTAAGGCTTGTGACACAAAATGAGTCAGATGCTGCAGCATAGAAAATTAGGTATATAGGAGATTTTAGATGGAGGGTTGTGGGGAGGTGGTGGGGAGGTGGATGAAGATTTGTGTGCCCTTAAGGGGCAAAAAATACCCAGACATAAAAACCCTGGAGCTGCATTAACTCTAATAGTTCCCTTCTTGGCTCTTCAATGGGAATCTATTCAGACATTTAGCAAGGTAATGTAGCATAGTCCACCTGGACTATTTAATGTCAGGCCTTTCCCCTGATGTGCTAGCTTTCTTCATGCAGGGAGTTTCTGATATGCAGGCCATTTTAATCAAAGAAACAGTCCCTTTTCTGCAGTCTCGCCTCATAAGAGAGTTGCATGAACTTTCAAAAACATTCGAACCACCTTGTAGGGAGACGATGGAAAGGAGGCAACAAGAAATGGTTCAATATTTATTGATTTAAAAGCTTTGTATGGCACCTTTCATCTGACTTGGATTCCAGGGCAGTGAAATAGACATATAATAAATGATTTACATCATAGCGCAATAACAACAGAAATAAATGGCAAAAGAGAGCGGATTGGACCCTTATGCAGGCTTAGGAGTATAGAGAGCATTTGAAGCACCTGGGCAAATTAAAAAAAAAATGTTTGAGCCTGGCGCCGAAATAATTGTTGTGTGGGTGTGAGTTGGGCCTCTTTGTCTAAGGTAAAGGTAAAGGGACCCCTGACCATTAGGTCCAGTCGTGGCCGACTCTGGGCTTGTGGTGCTCATCTCCCTTTATTGGCTGAGGGAGCTGGCGTACAGCTTCCGGGTCTTGTGGCCAGCATGACTAAGCCACTTCTGGCGAACCAGAGCAGCGCACGGAAACGCCGTTTACCTTCCCACCAGAGCGGTACCTATTTATCTACTTGCACTTTGACGTGCTTTCGAACTGCTAGGTTGGCAGGAGCAGGGACCGAGCAACAGGTGCTCACCCCGTCGCGGGGATTCAAACCGCCGACCTTCTGATCGGCAAGTCCTAGGCTCTGTGATTTAACCCACAACGCCACCTGCATCCCTCATTGGTGAGAAGTCTCTTGTGGCTGAATTTCCCAGGGAAAAGGCAACTGAGGAAGGGTTTCAGTAGACGACTCACAAAAATTACAGAGAAGTACATACCTCTCTTCCTGAATGTGTTATTCACTTCTGTGTCATAGAGGAGGGGAAACTTTATTTTGTGTGTGTATGAATATCTGTTGACCCATTGGTAAAGTTATTTGTGGTCTGGACTCAGCGTTGGGCAGGATAGTTGGAGTTTGTAGCACTGCAGGATTGAATAACTCTTTCTCTGCCTGTGTCCGCCCAACCTCTCCCTAGCCACTTTCCCTCACTTTGTATAGTTTTGTAGCTGTTTGAAGTGCTCAAAGTGCTCTAAGATCAATAGTTCAGTCAATCATCATTGTTCTAGCATTTCAGACACTTCTTGTTCCCATATTGCAGATGGGTAGGCCGAGAGATAATGGCTTGTCTCGGGCTGGTGGCTGAAGCTTGCTTTAAACTGGAGACCTCCCAGCTCGTGTTCTTAGCGGCGATTGTGCTCCAGCCGTTAAAAATAACTGCGATCAGTCATCCTGCTTTTTATCTTCTTCTACAGCTTGCAGCAGTCAGTGCCTGAGCTGTGATTCGGGGACCCGTTGCACATCCTGCAAACACCCGTCCCACGTCTTGCTCTTCGGCGAATGCCAGGATGACAGCTGCGCTCCACAATATTACCTTGACTTCTCCACCAAGACCTGCGAAGGTGAAAGAAACAGAGAGATGTTCTCGTCTTGGATCACAGTAACAATGGTTAAGAGTCTAGTTTAAGTCACAGCGAAGCCTTCTTCACTCTCTCCTTCCAAACCACATTCCTCCCACCCTTTGCTGCTTCCCTCACTCCCCTGGTTATCTGCTTTCATGGGATTCTGCTCCCAGTGAAAAACAAGATTATTGCAAATCCTTCCCTCGTAAATGATTGAGTAAGTGAGCCATCAAACTCTCTTCCGAGGGTCAAGATTTGCCATTTGCTCAGCTAGCGGTTCAGTCGATTGATGGGTGAGCTTAACTTGCTAAATCCCTCCTCCTCCCCTTTAACATTTATATAAGATTTTGTATATTTGCTGGAGTTTTCTCTGATTTATAAATATTGCAAGGCTGAATATACATATTTCAAGAGAGAACTTTGAAGGAACAAGCCTTCAGCACATGCTGCCGGTTCCACATTTGTGTTTTCTGAGGAAGAAAATCAGGCCCAGTATGAATATTTTCTTCCTTCCCTCTTCATACCTTCGTTATTATTATTTATTAAATTTGTATAAAGCCACATTGCAAATGCACCACCATCAAAGATTACTGTGCATCACCCTCAGAAGGCTTGCTGTATAATTAACTAACCTGAAACACTGGGACTCTTTTTAACTATCCAAGGTGGAAGAAAGTTAAAGCTAAGGAACTTGATCCCAGGACTCGTAAAAGGCTCTTGACTCACTTTCATGTCACAGCAGGATATGAGCATATAGAGATGTGTGGAGTTCAAAATTCAAACTGTTTAGCAGTGAAATCAGGGGAGAGTCAAGAAGGACAGCTCTTCCCCCCTTGCCTGCAGACAGAATCCAGCAACCTGCTAATTTTTACTATTATCCTAATTAGGGGTGGGGAAGAAATTCAGTTCAGTTCCCATTTCAATATGAAACGCCCTAATTTGCACTTCCTGAAACAACACAGGAACCGAAACGGGTTTCCCTTTGAAATTCGCAGTTCTCCGAATTTTGTGATGCAGTTCTCTAACAAACAAGATGTACAGAAATGTGTGTATTGGGGGAAGCATGCATTAAAATGTGCAAGTTAGTGAAAATAGCATGCAAAAATGCATTACATTAGGGGAAATTGTTTGCAAAAATGTGCATATCAGGGTAAGGTTGCATACAAATAGATCAGGAGAAATTTGCACTAAAATGCTGATGAATTTTCATGGTGGCTTTTAAAAAGACACAAACTGATGGAGAAATGCAGAGAGCTGAATTTAAGGCTGAAAAGGGGAGAAACGGAAAGAAACCGAAATTGGCGTCCATCTATAATCCTAAATTCCTACCCTGATTCCCAAGCTAACCTTGTCGTTGTTTAGTCGTTTAGTCGTGTCCGACTCTTCGTGACCCCATGGACCAGAGCACGCCAGGCACTCCTGTCTTCCACTGCCTCTCACAGTTTGGTTAAACTCATGCTGGTAGCTAACCTAGAATGTAAAATAAATCCTCAGGAGTTTGCAGGCTGTATTTTCCCTGATGTATATTGGAGAAGGAGCTCAGGATTTTCAAAAGGAGTGCTGAGCTGATGTTTCATGTGGCTGGAGGATGTGGATTCCATGGGAGAAATACTTTTGCTTTGGCACAGGTTAAAAGAGCCCCCTCGCCCCCTTGACAAGTGATCTGTGATCTAGCTGCAGCACCCAGAACTACTTACCATGGAGAGGAGCTATGCAGACATTGTTTCAGCACCACTGAGAGTGCCTTCCAGGAAATGGGATGGTGTTGCACAGACTTGCAGTGTGATGCCAGCCATCTAACATGCCAAATAGTTCTAAATGCTGCAGCTGGGGCTCTAGGGTCAATGTCAATCTGTACAGTGTCCCCATGTCCCCCCTCTCTCCTTCTCTTACGCTCACTGTTTCTGCTCTGCTCAAGTTTCTCTTGCCAGGGCATCCAAGGACAGCTCCAACTTCTTCCTGCCCATATGTATTTGCACCCTGGCTCACCTTGAGGTTTGGAAAACTAGAGTGCCAGTGCTATCTTGGTTTCCTTTTACAACAGCCCCCCTTCTTAAGCTTGCAGAACGGGCTATTCTTAGACTCAGCAGGGCTCCCTCATCATCCTCTCTGGGTCTGTGTAACACCTGACTAGGACAGCTTCTATCTCTATGCCACCCTGTTCCTCCAGGACTTTTGTGATTGCTATATCCTGTGCTGGCTTTTCTCCCGTTCCACACCCCCATCGCCATATCCCATCCTCTGTTCATCCTGGGGATTGTAATCCACTTCACTTCTCTGTATTGCACAGCAGGGGTTTGCAAATGGTAGGCTGGGGTCTCCTGTCAACACCTCTGGGCGATTAGCAGTCGATCAGCCAAGGTTTAAGCAGCAAGAAAGCAGCTCATTCTTCTGAAATTAATCTGCTGGAATGAAGCAAGTTATCCAGGAACAGACGTCTGTGTGAAAGGACTGGAGGTTGAGTTCAGTTGAGTTCTGGTGCTGAAAACAAAATCCTAATCTCAGAATGCTCAGAGGCACCTTGTCTTTTATTCTAACCGCATTACTTTCACAATTGTACACATGGCCCTGGTTAATAGATCATGAGGTTCTAGTAAATGATAAAAATAATTTTATTATTTATACCCCGCCCATCTGGCTGGGTTTCCTCAGCCACTCTGGGCGGCTCCCAACAGAACACTAAAAACAGAATAAAACTTCAAGCATTAAAAACTTCCCTGAACAGGGCTGCCTTCAGATGTCTTCTAAAAGTCAGATATTTGTTTATTTCCTTGACATCTGATGGGGGGGCATTCCACATAGCGGGCGCCATTACCAAGAAGGCCCTCTACCTAGTAAAGAGCAGGTTAGATCCCATAGATGGAGATCCCTGCTAGATGGAGGCAGTAAGCCTTTGATGGGAACTGCAGGTGTAGAGAGGACTGTTGCTCTTTGGTCTTGCTTACAGGCATCCCATAACCTTCTGGTTGGTCTCCCTGAGAACAGGATGCTGGACTTTGGTTGGATCAAACAGAGCCCACCCTGATGTATAGCACTTGGCGCTCTGTTGGTGCTGAATAAATGCTCAGCTCTTTTCACAGTAGCATGGTTCTCTCACAGTTATTGCATGCGTCTCCCAGGAGGTACCCAGCAGCTGCCTGGAGCAGCGCGGCTGAGATGTCCCTGCCTCCCTGTTATTAACTTTGCCACGCTCTCTTCCAAAATTCCTTTTGACTTCAGGGCAATGTCACCTTCGTCATTGATTCGGCCTGCTTAATTAGCAGCGCTTGCGGGGAAATCCCAGAAGTCCGCAGGAGTGGAAGATAAGAGATTTACAGTTTAACCGTGGCAGGAGACGCCATGGAGCAGTGTCGGCTGACAGCAACCGCAAGCACCTCGAGGGAGCAGCCGTTGCGACTGCCTGACTGGACCTTTGAAAAGCAGCCTCCTGTGTCCGTGTTTAACATAATTGGGAAATGTTAAACCCCAGAGAAAGATCTGTGTTATTCTAAGAACATCTCTTAGGCATTTTCTCTCCTGCCTTGCCTCTGTTCCGCTGTTCTTTCTTTGCCCTTCAATGCATCTGCAGTCAGTACCGTTTGGTATGTTAAAATGGGTGGGTGGAAGCCAAGCAGACCGTGGGCTTTGCTTAGGATGTGTGTGTATTTTCTTCCTTCTTTGTATTCCAGAGTGTGACTGGAGCTGCAACGCTTGTAGTGGTCCCCAGAGCACCGATTGCTTGCAGTGCATGGAGGGATACATTCTCCACGAAGGTTCCTGTGTGGAGCGATGCCCTCCTGCTTTCTACAAGGAATCCGACACTTGCCAAAGTAAGTCTCTGCTCCTTTGCCTGCAGGGTAAGTGTACTTGATTTCCTTTCTCGAGGACGCCGTCCACAAACGACCTCTGTCAGATACTGCTATGGAAGTTCACTAATTCCTTGCTGGACAGATGGTGTCTTGGGCCCCCATTTGAGACAAAGCGGTGGGATGCTTCTCTGCCACTTTGCAAGTCCAGTCGAGATTTTGCTTTGGATCTGGATGGTAAAGGGCAAAAGGAGAGGGGGGAGAGCTCATGCCATGTCTTGTCTAGGACCTTCACCATCAGCTCATTGGTGAGAAAAAATAGTTAAGGTAAAGGGAATCCTGACCATTAGGTCCAGTCGCGGACGACTCTGGGGTTGTGGCGCTCATCTCGCTTTATTGGCCGAGGGAGCCAGCGTACTGCTTCCGGGTGATGTGGCCAGCATGACTAAGCCGCTTGTGGCGAACCAGAGCAGTGCACGGGAATGCCATTTACCTTCCTGCCAGAGCGGTACCTATTTATCTGCTTGCACTTTGACATGCTTTCGAACTGCTAGGTTGGCAGGAGCAGAGACTGAGCAACGGTAGCTCACCCCGACCTTCTGATCGGCAAGCCCTAGGCTCTGTGGTTTAACCCACAGCGCCACCCGCATCCCTCATTGGTGAGAAGGGCATGCCAAACAGTTGCTCTGCTGTCCACGTCCCTTCACAGGAATGTAGCAGTCCATGACTGGGGTGAGAGATCTTTTACAACCCAAGGGCAGCATTCCACCGTCAACAACTTTTTGAGGGCCGCATATCTGTAGTGAGCAGGTGCGAAAGTGGGCAAACCTTTCCCCCTGCGTTCCAGGAGGTTGGACTAGGGATTTGGACTTTACATTCCTTTCAACTGTACAGTTCTATGATCCTTTGACTCTTATTTGTGTAGAGTAGACTGCATTGCTGTAAGGCAGAAGTCAGAGGTTTCCACCCCATGCTTCTTCCAGGTGAGGAAGAGGCATTATCACAATTCAAGGAGGTTACCCAGTCAGCCAAAGTCACTCAAGGACATTGTGCCATGTGGGATGGAGTAGAGATGCAAGGACCAAACAGAGAGGTCTGATGGGCGGGATTTGGCCACTGGGACTGAGGTTCTCAATGTATGCGGTACACACATGTGCACAATATAAGGAGGCAGTATCAATGTAGTGAGTGGCAGTGCTAAGGGATTAGATTACCTGATTCACTACTGCAGAGGTGGGGAGCCTTAAGAGGGTTGGGTGAAATCTTGCTGACCTGTGGACCTGGGTTCTCCATTCCTGCCCTGGTGCCTCTACTTGCCAAATGAGGTTGCTGCCAAGTCAGGGAACAGATTACAAGGAGAAGGCAAGCCTGGATTAAGCCCCCCCCCCAAGGCAAAGTGAGATGGAGCAAAGTCGGCCAGTTGGGTGTGTTGGTGAGAGTGCTGAGCTAGGATCTGGAATAGGTAAAAGGTAAAGGGACTCCTGACCATTAGGTCCAGTCATGGCCGACTCTGGGGTTGCGGCACTCATTTTGCTTTATTGGCCGAGGGAGCCGGCGTACAGCTTCTGGGTCATGTGGCCAGCATGACTAAGCCACTTCTGGCAAACCAGAGCAGCGCACGGAAACGCCGTTTACCTTCCCACCGGAGTGGTACCTATTTATCTACTTGCACTTTGACGTGCTTTCGAACTGCTAGGTGGGCAGGAGCTAGGACTAAGCTACGGGAGCTCACCCTGTCGTGGGGATTCAAACCGCCAACCTTCTGATTGGCAAATCCTAGGCTCTGTGGTTTAACCCACAGTGCCACCCGCATCCCACAGGACCTGGAATACCCAGGTTCATATCTCTGCTCATCCATGAGGCTGACTGGGTGGCCTTGGGTTAGTCTTTCAATCTGATCTACTTCACAGGGATGTTGTGAGTCTAGAATGGAGAGGGGGAGAACCATGTATGCTTCCTTGAGCTCCTTGGAGGAAAGTGGGGCACATGTGAAATACATAATACTAATACAAATGAGAAGTGGGACAGATTTGCTCGGTGGCTAGAACTGGGAGCATCAACTGCAGCAACAACAGGTTTCTGTTCTTACTGATACCAGAGAGAAAGTCAAACTTGGAAGCTTTGCTATAGTTCAGAGCTTGATATATGACCTGTTTCAACCTACTGATGTTTCAGGGCCTTGTGACCCTGTAATTCCTCACTTTGGCCTGAGCTTGGTGGTGGGCTGCCCTGAGTGCCCTGACATTCCTCAGCCTCCAGATTCATGGTCTGAATCTGTGAATGCAGGTCCTGACACCATCTGACTGTAGTGACAGAGGTATCCTATTTGGAGTGGCAGTTCTGCCTTCAAATGAGACCTGTCAACGTGATCCCTGCTATGCTACAGCGTTTTGGGGTTTACAGTGCCTGTCTGTTGTGATTTAGGACATACGGGAACAGTAAAAAGCCCGTTACTCAGAAAACCTTCGCCGCAAATTTGCGCTGTCACCTCAAGACCTACAACGGCATTTAAGCTGGCATATATCTATAATGTTCTTCTGAGGCTTGGGATCTTGAAGGAAAGTGGTAATGGATACAAAGCCCTGTCCAGGTCCAGGCAGATCAGCACCCTGGACAGCTCCCAGTGGGACCTTATATCTGCACTTGGGAAGATGCTCTCTCAGCAAAGGCTTAAGAGTCATCTGAAGCCTTAAAAAGTTGACATGTCTGGACCTTACAGTGGCTCCACCTTGCGAGACCTGGTTGCACTATTTAAAGGGCCTGCAGCCTGTTCTGCAGCCACATGCTCCTGCATAGTTGTGGAGCAGGAGAGACTGCAGGAATGTCAAACCCCAAGGATGACAGGAGACTGGTGCATCGCCTGAATGAGTTCTCCTAAGGCCAAAAACTGGGACCCTGAGGCAATGTCCACCTGCACTTGAGCTAGGAACCCAGTGCTGTCTGCTTGTGTTGAGTGGCTTCTGTACTGACAGCTCTAATCATCCGGTAGCATCTATTATACTCAATATTTCTCTCTCTCTCTCTCTCTCTCTCTCTCTCTCTCTCTCTCTGTATGCAGCATGCACATACATACTGTACACTTGTACACCCTGCTTTGATGTAGCAAGTGCAAATTCTTGTTCAGCTTCCCAGGTGTCAAAAAAGGTTATTTATGTATGCCACTACTGCGGCCCGTGTTTTGTTAGCCCAAAAATGGAAAACGAGCGGGTCTCAACTACAGAAGAATGGCAGCTTAAACTGATGGAATATGTGCAGCTTGCGGGCCTAACAGACAGAATAAGAGAACATGAAGAACATAGGTTTAAAGAAGATTGGAAAATGTTTATTGAATATATTGGGGGGGGGGGAATTGTGTACACTTGAAAACGTTGGCAGATAAATCCAACAGTGTAAATAAGTTTTGATGGATGTAATAATGGAATACTGAATGGTTTGGTTTATATAAAATATGCAGGGGTTTATGTTATGCAAAATGAACCATGGAAAGAGAAGAAGGGAAGTTTTTTTATATTTTAAGGTTGCTTAAATGAATATTCTAAATTGTAAAACAGAAAATGTAATAAAAATTATATATATATATAAAATCTTGCACAGCTATAGAATTCACTGTGTGACCTTGGACATGCCATGCTCTGCGAGATTATTGTAAGGACAGAATGAGCTAACTGTGTGTACTGCGTTGGTCAGGGTGTAATCAGATCACGAGACACAGAACTGTGCCCTGCGTTTATGTCTAGAGGAATTTGTTCCTAAGTTATTTGTGCGTGTTTTCCAGGATGTGATGATGACCGCTGCCTGGAGTGCCGTGCCCCGAGTGAATGTGCACGCTGTGAATCCCCGTTTCTCCTCATGGGTTCCCAGTGCGTCTCGACATGTGGGAAGCGGTTTTATGCAGACCACGGAGAGCAAAGGTGCTCAGGTGAATATCAATGAGGGGATTAAAGCTTAAAACACACTTGAGTTCACAGGTAAGCAGCCTGAGCAAAAAGAGGACTCGAGAATCCATGGGCTGGATAAAATAATATTACAGCTTATGTGCTTCACTTAAACAAACCTGTTGATGTTGTTGGTCTCTGAAAACTGGGTGGCGCTGTGGGTTAAACCACAGAGCCTAGGGCTTGCCGATCATAAGGTCGGCGGTTCAAATCCCCACGACGGGGTTAGCTCCCATTGCTCGGTCCCTGCTTCTGCCAACCTAGCAGATCGAAAGCACGTCAAAGTGCAAATAGATAAATAGGTACCACTCCGGTGGGAAGGTAAACGGTGTTTCCGTTTGCTGCTCTGGTTTGCCAGAAGCGGCTTAGTCATGCTGGCCACATGACCTGGAAACTGTACGTCGGCTCCCTCAGTCACTAAAGCGAGATGAGCGCTGCAACCCCAGAGTCGGCCACGACTGGACCTAATGGTCAGGGGTCCCTTTAACTTTACCTTTAGGACATGAAGAGCTGTAGCAAAGCTTCTGATCCTTTATCTTACTTTGTACTCATCTCGGGACGAGAACTCTTTCTCTGAATATGCGTGGCTTACAGTAGGGCAGCCCAAGACATTTTGCTGCCTCAGGCAAAGAATACGATAGAATCATAGAATTGTAGGGTTGGAAGGGACCCCAATGGTCATCTAGTCCAGCCCCTGCAGTGCAGGAATCTCAACTAAAGGATCCATGACAGATGGCCATCCAATCTCTGCTTAAAAACCTCCAAGGAAGGAGATAGCCCCCCTGCCCTCCCATTCCACATCAGGAAGCTACTTCCAACACTAGCAGCAGGACAGTGTCCACCATTGTATATGTCCTCCAACAGCCAACCTCTGCTCCCCGCTCCCCAGTTCTGTCACCTGAAGCAGCTGCCACTCTCTTCACAACAACAACAACAACAACAACAATAAATTTATACCCCGCCCTCCCCAGCCAAGACTGGGCTCAGGGCAGCTAACACCAGATATAAAACAATTGATTAAGATACAACTTAAAAACAAGATTAAAATACAACATTAAAATGCAGCCTCATTTGAATAGAAACTCAAATCAAGAATTTTTGGGGGATGAAAACGTCAAATCTTCACCAAGGCCAACTATCCAGACTGGTCCTACGTGGGCCAGAAAAAAGCCAGGGAAGTCCCCAAATAGGAGTTCCATCACAGAAGGAGAAAGGAAAAAGGAAAGAGGGGAAGAGGATCAAGTTGATTCCAAGCCAAAGGCCAGGCAGAACAACTCTGTCTTACAGGCCCTGTGGAAAGAAATCAGATTCTGCAGGGCCCTCGTCTCATGAGACAGAGCGTTCCACCAAGCTGGAGCCAGTGTTGAAAAGGCCCTGGCTCTGGTTGAGGCTAATCTGACTTCCTTAGGGCTCGGGACCTCTAGAGTGTTGCTATTTATGGACCTTAAGGTCCTCCGTGGGGCATACCGGGAGAGGCAGTCCTGTAGGTACGAGGGTCCTAGGCCGTGAAGGGCTGGGCCTCAATCCCTGAAAGATTTCTAGGAATTGCTGCCAGCTGGCATAGATCAGACTTCCTCAACCTCGGCCCTCCGGATGTTTTGAGACTACAATTCCCATCATCCCTGACCACTGGTCCTGCTAGCTAGGGCTCATGGGAGTTGTAGGCCAAAAACATCCGGGGGACCGAGGTTGAGGAAGCCTGGCATAGATAATACTAGGGAAGGAGGGGCAAAGAATCTGCTTTAAGTGGATTTATACCTGGCTTTTGGAAGTTCTTACTCAACTGAACTTTGCTCGCCTCTTGGCCACAGGTTTCCAAACTGCTCATGCTTCTTTTGTAAAGTGCCTTGAGGCTTTTTACAATTGAGAGATGGGTGAAAAACACTTGCAAAACAATTAACACAATATATCAGCGTTTTGTTGGTTGCTAATCCTGCCTAAACTTTCTTGCATTCTCATCCAAACCCTCCAGGTCACCCAGGCCTTCATAATAATTTCTTTGGGGCATTATTTTGTGAGTGGGATTCTGCGACATACTGGCAAACGTGACGCTCCCGAGCAACAAACCTGTTTCCAAAAAAGAATGTTTTGGGGAGGGGTAGGTTTGCAGTGGAGGGACGCGGGTGGTGCTGTGGGTAAAACCTCAGTGCCTAGGACTTGCATGGTTGGCGGTTCGAATCCCCGCGGTGGGGTGAGGTCCCGTATTTCGGTCCCAGCTCCTGCCCACCTAGCAGTTCGAAAGCACCCCTAAGTGCAAGTAGATAAATAGGTACCGCTTTATAGCGGGAAGGTAAACGGCGTTTCCGTGTGCTGTGCTGGTGCTGGCTTGCCAGAGCAGCTTCGTCACACTGGCCACATGACCCGGAAGTGTCTCCGGACAGCGCTGGCCCCCGTCCTCTTAAGTGTGATGGGCGCACAACCCTAGAGTCGGACACGACTGGCCCGTATGGGCAGGGGTACCTTTACCTTTACCTTTAGGTTTGCAGTAAGGGAAGTGACAGGGATATGCACTGGAGGCTGTGGGGTAACAATTGCTTGATGCAACATCATTTAGCCTCACAAGCAAATCAGAGTGAATCCTCCATAAACTGGTAGCGTTGTATAACCTCACCACAAACGCTGTGCAAAGAAATCAGGAAGAATGCTCAATAAGCAGATTATCTGGAAGCGACAGTAACTGGAACAAATTTTAAAATGTTGAACAAGCAGGCTCCCTTTTTGTTAAAGCGTGGAGATGTGTCCCTTTGCATTCTTCATATTTAAGACAATGTAATTCTTTATAACAATAGCTGCTTAGTGAGCTTAACTGCGAAGCCAACCACAGATTTAGGAGCTCCTGAGGCACAATCAAGTGTGATCTCAAACTTTGTGTGTGTGTATTCATGCGCTCATGTGCCCAGACACTGGTGTCCACATGTAAAGGAATGTGTGCTTCCTGAACTGAACGAGAAGATTTTATAGTTTGAGAGTCCTGTTTGTTGCATTGCCCTTCACCCCCCAGTGCTCAGGGCAATGTTGGCTCAACAAGCCGTTTGTGCTTGGACTCTTGTTTCGTTGACCATTAATAAAGTAATAACACAGTTGTGGCCTTGTTTTCCGAGACCAGAAAATGGCAGTGGTAGCATTTGATCTTTATTTGAAAGTCTCATTTCTTTCCTTTTCATGCTAGCCTGCCCCAAAGGATGTTTGGAATGCGACAAATCAAGTCGGTGCCGAGTTTGCGACTCCACTACATTTTTGCAGGAAAGCCGCTGTGTCTCCGACTGCAGCCATGGTTTCTATGGAAATCCCTGGAGCAGAGAGTGTGAAAGTGAGTATTTTCCTATAACGCTCCCCTTGGCAGCTGGGTAGTGTGGGTCACTTACAGTTTCCCATCTGTTCATATGAAGTAACAGTGAACCTCATGGGTTGTGAGGACAGCTGGTGATCAGAGACAGTGCGTGTAGTGGTTAGAACATTGAAATAGGACCTGAGAGACCCAAGGTTCAAATCCTTACTCGGCCATCCAGCTTGCTGGGTGACCTTGGGCCAGTCATAGTCTCGCAGCCCAGCCTACCTCACAGGGTTGTTGTTGTGATAAAATGGGGGGCCACGTATAACACCTTGAGTGCCTTGAAGGAAAGGTGGGGTAGAAATGTAATAATAAATAAGTCAATCAATCAATCAATCAATCAATCTACACCACAGGTAATCTGATTTAACAGACAGATCCATTTCTCTTTATCAACCTTATTGAACCATGGGAATTGTAGTTCAATATATGTGTGTTGTATATATACAGAAGTGTGGGCAAGAGTATCTCTGATAAAAAGGACCAGAACTCTCAAACCTATAACTTCCTGGTATATTGCCTAAAATTAGTGGCTTTGCTACTATAAAAATGTCATTTTTTCTCTTTTCTGGTGTTCTCTACTGCAACAATCCTATGTATTTCACTTAAGGTCGAAGAAAGATCTAGATTTAGATTTTTTCTTTTAAAAATGGGAGATAAGGTGTTGTGTATTTTTTGTGTTGCAGATGGGCAGGGCTGGGCTGGGCTGAAGGGTCAGCATTGTGGTCAGTTTTGCAACTTCTGTTAGCTGCACTGTGAAAGCTGCATAGAAATCTTCAGTGAAATAAAGCTGAGGTCTACATATTAACTGGGTTTTGTTTGGTTTGTTTTAGCTGTCATGCAAACTCCTGTTCTCAGGGCAAATGGCTCACTCCAGTTAGGAATTGGCGAGGTGAAGCCCATTGACCTCTCCATCCTAGAGTTGCAAGGCCCTGTTGGCGAAGGAGAAGGTTTCTTGTTTCATGTGGTTGACCCTCCCACCAACGGCCGACTGCTGACTGTGGCAAATGGGAAAGAGACAGAGTTGAGCCAGGGTGACCATTTCACCGTGGAAGACGTGAAGGGGCAGAGAGTTCGTTTCATGCATGATAAGAAGAAATCCAGGTGATTTGCTGCTTCCTTACATCTCTTGCTGTCAGTGCACGGAAGTTATCCAAGGGTACTTCCGAATAGCCTGGGAAAGTTGCTCTACATCTGTGTGGATGGGTGGGGTAGGAATTGCAATACCTCAAGGACCGCCTCTCTCCATATGAACCTACCTGGACCCTGAGATCATCTTCTGATGCCCTTCTTTGTGTGCCTCTTCCATGAGAGGTCCAGAGACTGGCAACACGAGAATGGGCCTTTTCTTTGGTGGCTCCCCACTTGTGGTGTGCTCTCCTCAGGGAGATTCGCCTGGTGCCTTCATTATACACCTTGAGGCACCGGGCGAAAACATACCTCTTTAACCAGGCTTTGGGCTGATTGACATCCAATGCCCTTTTAGATGTGTTGTGGAAGGGTGGATTATCAGGTTGCCTTTGTTATTTTTACTACGTATTTTGTGTTTTTTCTATAGTAACTTTATGTTGTGAACTGCCCTGAGATCTATGGGTATACGGCTGTACAGTGGACGCTCGGGTTGCGAACATGATCTGTGCGGGATGCACGTTTGCAACCCGCAGCTGCGGGCTGCGATTCGGCGCTTCTGCACATGCGCAAAGTGCGATTTAGCGTTTCTGCACATATGCGACCACCGAAACCCGGAAGTAACCCGTTCCAGTACTTCCGGGTTTCAGCGGTCCGTAACCTGAAAAAATGCAACCTGAAACATCTGTAACCTGAGGTATGACTGTATACAAATTTATTAAATAATAATAATAATAATAAGAGAAGAAGGGAAAGATTAGAATTGAAGTGATACCAGAAGATATATGATTGGGGCACAAGTGCAGAAATTGAGACTGGTCTAAGTACAGATTGCAGTGGTCTGAGAATCGCAGTTTTTATTTAAAAACATGCAAGTTTCTGGTCCTCAAGACTCATTTCATTTTGAGGCGGGAAGCTTGAAAATAAGACAGCAGTGCCTGGTGAAATCTCAGTATACACATGCAGCCTTGAAGGCGCTATGGCAGAGCCATTTTTGGCTGTGATCACAAGGGGCTCTTCCAGATGGGCTCTTTATTCCAACAAAATTTGGCTGTTATCTCTCACTTTCAAGGGCAATCATCCCATCATTTTCCCAGCTGCAATATGTCCAGTAAGAAATGTGATGGGTAATTGCTCTGTAAAGTGCAGAATAGCAACCACTTGCTGGCAATGTCATATAACCTCCGCACCAACAGATCAGAATGAACGCTTCCAAGGTTGATATTTTCTAGTCTGCTGTTATCACTGATCAAAAAGGTTTAGCACCTTTTTTGAGCACTAAAAAATTTTTTTTGTACAACTCCTCTGCTGTAGTCGACGAATCATGCTGTGCACTTGTATTCCTATCAAAAAGCAACATCTATTTATATAACCTTCTTTGGGTGTTCATGTAGGAATGGGCAGTTTTCCCTAAAGATCAGCCATCAACAGTATTTCTCTGAACCAGAAACGTTCACTGTTCAAGCACAATCAACAAAGGTAAGCTATGATCTGTATATAATTTTTTCAAAAATGTGAAGGGAAAATACGTATCCAGATCTATATTTGATTCCCGGTTTGTCTCCAGGCCACAAAGCTTCCCATTTGATGGTTAGCCTTCCTGCACACCAACCTTTCCAGGCATTTCGGAAGTTTTGTCATCTTCCATTGTTGCATTACTCCCTGCTCCTTGTCCATTTTATGTTGATGGTTAGTCCTTTGGGGCAGCAGGCCAGGGTGAAACTGAATTAATCACAGAACAGAGCCAGACTAGTGATCATCTCCTTCCCCCCCTCTTCCCAGTTTCCCCACTTTTAAAAATATTCCTTTCCCCCTCCACTAAGACTGACGTGTATTCCGTAACTCTACCACATCACTGTAGAGTTGTGCAGATACTTGAGTGTTGGCTATCAGGATTTCACATCTTAAGAAATGAGGTGTTGTGTTTTTAAAAGCCATAAACAACAACCCATGTCTCTAGCCTTCATGAAGGTAAGCAAGAAGAACTCCACTAATAATCCCATCATTAGAGTGTGATGCATGGCTCAGTGGTTGTCACATTCATAGGGTGTCAGGTTCAATATGTGGCACCTCCAGTTAAAAGGAGTTGTTGTTGTTGTTTAGTCATTTAGTAGTGTCCAACTCTTCGTTACCCCATAGACCAGAGCACGCCAGGCACTTCTGTCTTCCACTGCCTCCCGCAGTTTGGTCAAACTCATGCTGGTAGCTTCGAGAACACTATCCAACCATCTCGTCCTCTGTCGTCCCCTTCTCCTTGTGCCCTCCATCTTTCCCAACATCAGGGTCTTTTCCAGGGAGTCTTCTCTTCCCATGAGGTGGCCAAAGTATTGGAGTCTCAGCTTCACAATCTGTCCTTCCAGTGAGTGCTCAGGGCTGATTTCCTTAAGAATGGATAGGTTTGATCTTCTTGCAGTCCATGGGACTCTCAAGAGTCTCCTCCAGCACCATAATTCAAAAGCATCAATTCTTCGACGATCAGCCTTCTTTATGGTCCAGCTCTCACTTCCATACATCACTACTGGGAAAACCATAGCTTTTACTATGCGGACCTTTGTTGGCAAGGTTATTTCTCTGCTTTTTAAGATGCTGTCTAGGTTTGTCATTGCTTTTCTCCCAAGAAGCAGGCGTCTTTTAATTTCTTGGCTGCTGTCACCATCTGCAGTGATCATGGAGCCCAAGAAAGTAAAATCTCTCACTGCCTCCATTTCTTCCCCTTCCATTTGCCAGGAGGTGATGGGACCAATGGCCATGATCTTCGGTTTTTTGATGTTGAGTTTCAGACCATATTTTGCGCTCTCCTCTCTCACCCTCAATAAAAGGTTCTTTAACTCCTCCTCACTTTCTACCTAAAAGGATCAGGTAGTTGGAAAATTCTTTCTTCCTGATGTTTTGGGGAGCTGCTTCCAGTCAAGGTAGACAATATAGGTCTACATGAACAAATAGCTTGGCCTGGTGTAAGGCAGCTTTCTACCCCTTTCTTCAAAGTACACAGAGCGGATGAAAACAGTGAAAACATGTTAACGTAATGTAAACGAGCAATGTTAAAGGATAGTAAACAAAACAAATACAAGACCTGAATTGAAATGAATTGACTGTGTCCTCCGTTGTCTTTAACACCAGATGATTCTGGTACGTAAGGAATAAGATTTAATTGTTCTTCATGGCTCCCATCCCCAATATTCTTGCTCTGTCCTGCCTTCTAGATTTAGCGCTATTTTCCCTTCTCTTCAGCTCCAATTTCATGGTTCTAAACTAAGCCTCTCCCTTCCCCTTCAGAATATACGTGCATCGCCAATCGTTAGCAATAACCTCAATGTGTGTCCTTCATTCAGTAATGTGTTATTTCCACCAGTCCAAGCGAGACCTTGAGCTGTTGACCCTTGTTATCTAGCTGAAGAAGCCTGATTCATCAGCCTTTTCCAAGAAGTGTTTATTAGTTCCTTTTAATTCTTTCCTTTGGTAGCCTCCTAGATTCCAGGGCTCTCGGTGCCTTGTTTAACGTTCAGTATCGGGTAGGAAAGTAACCAACACAAATCTCAGAGGGAAACACCAGCACCTAAGTTAGGCAGACAACTTGCTTGCTAACACACACTGTTAGATGCTGCCAATACTGAGCAAAATGGACCAATAGCCTAACTTTATATGAGTTAGTAGAATCATAGAATTGTAGCATTAGAAGGGACTGTTATGTACTGAAGTTCTCACCCTGGGCCAGCAGGGGGATACTGTAGATAGTTATGCAAATAAGGGATCGAAAGTGACGTTCAGTGATTGGATAGTTTTAGAAAGTTGTTACAGTAACGTTGTACTGGAGCTCTATATAAGCAGGCTGACTGAACCCTACAGTTCAGTTCTGTCCTGGCCTGTGAATAAACAAGAGCTGCTTTGAAGAATCGCTGTGTCGTCTGATATGTTCACCCACAACTTAACAGGGACCACTAGGTTCATCTAGTCCAACCTCCCTGCGATGCAGGAATCTTTTGCCCAATGTGGGGTTCAAACCCATGACTCTGAAATTGAGAATCTCTAGCTCTGCTGACGGAGCTATCCCAGCTGTCCTCTTCCTCTCGTCCAACCCCCTACAATGCAGGAATCTCAACCAGAGCATCCTAGACAGATGGCCCACTAGATCTCAAGGCTTTCAGTAGAGTGGCAGAGATCCTTTCTCAGGTCTCAACTATATTCAAGTCCCCCTTGCAATTCTGTCCTTAGTACCCTGGCACTTGAAGCAAAACAATTAAATGGTATATAAAACTGTCTAAACAGATGAAAGCAAATGCATTTTGAAAAGTAACAAACAAACAAAACCAGCACATCAAGGGGAGAAAAAATGTTCTGGTCAAGGCTTTTCACTGCTGTGCTAGCTTTCTACTTGCAGGATTTTATTTTTATGTAGGGAAACATTTTTAAAAAACACATGATGGCTCCTCACCTGTAGCCTGCAGTGGCCCTGTCCATTCTCCTGCCTCTTTCCCAACTCAGTCAGTGCCATGACTTCACCTGTCACCCCTTACGTTGCTTTCTTTCCCTTCCCTCAGAACAGAATTAGTTAGTAACCTGAACGAGTGCTTCCCTTTTCCTCCCTGTGGCTATAAGGATCTATGTAAAACAAGTTAAGTGCATCTGCGCTCACAAATTTACACAGGCCATGGAAATGAGCGGTTGTTGGTACAGCTGTGATTTTGTGGCAATGGGTTTAAACCATAGACCACAGGGGTCAGCAAACTTTTTCAGCAGGGGGCCGGTTCCCTGTCCCTCAGACCTTGTAGGGGGCTGGACCATATTTTGAAAAAATAATAATGAACGAATTCCTATGCCCCACAAATAGCCCAGAGATGTATTTTAAATAAAAGCACACATTCTACTCATGTAAAAACACCAGGCAGGTCCCACAAATAACCCAGAGATGCATTTTAAATAAAAGGATGCATTCTACTCATGTAAAAACATGCTGATTCCCTTTTTAAAAATAATTTTTTATTAATTTTTACATATTAGTTATCATTCATACAACAAAACTTGACTTCTTATACACTCTTTTTGGACTTCCATCAGCCCCTCTGATGATCCTCTGTTCTTATCACTTATTCTGCATTTCTTAAATTCCTATTGCCTTTAATTATCTTAACTAACAGTCCCCCTCGTTACCTTTTTTTTTTTTGCAATATTTCAAATAGTCCACCTTACAAAACTTCTTGCAAACCTACAAGCGTAATCTGATCATCACAATTACTTTCCAAAAAGTCCGTAAAGTCTTCTGTGAATCTCTGGTCCCGCAGATTTCAAATTCTTCCTCTTAATTTCTCTAATTCTGCATAGTCCATCAGTTTCATTCTCCATTCTTCTTTTGTCGGTAGTTCTTCTTGCTTCCAGTTTTGTGCCCATAATATTCTTGCTGCCGTCACTGCATATAAAAATAATTTACAATCCTTTCTTTTTATATCATCTCCTACAATGCCAAGTAATAATGCTTATGGTTTCTAGAAACATGCTGATTCCTGGACCGTTCATGGGCCGGATTTAGAAGGCGATTGGGCCATATCCTGCCCCCAGGCTTTAGTTTGCCTACCTATGCAAGCAAGGAACTGAACGCTGTCTTTACATTTCAGGCTCCCTACGTTCTGAGAAACGAAGCCCTCATTCTTGGCCAAGGCGAAGCTAGAGCCATCACCAACCTTTTGCTTGATATTCGAGACAGTGATAATCCTGAGAGCGTGACACTGGCTGTTTTAGATCCTCCGAAACACGGGCAGCTAGCCAAGCTTTCTGGGGACACATCGCTGGCGACGAATCTTTTCCACCTTGATGACCTCTTGCAGGGATTTGTGCATTACATCCACGATGGATCCGACAGTTTGGAAGACACGGCGGTTCTGCAGGCAGGCGATGGGTATCACTTTCGGAATATACTCTTCCACATCAAAATTACGCCGAAAGTAAGTGCCATGATAGAAATCTCCATAGAGTGTTCCTATGCCATAAATGCGCTGTGTAACTCTGTGCTTTTTTACTCAGAATTAAATCCTATTGGGTTAAGTGGGGCTTGTTCCACACTTTAGGGGAGCAGCCAGAACATGGTGTGTATCTAGGTCTAGATAATCTTATATCTCCATGCATGTAGAAAACTAGCAGGTTGAGGGGGGGAATAAAAAGGTAAAGGGACCCCTGACCATTAGGTCCAGTTGTGGCCGACTCTGGGGTTGCGGCGCTCATCTCGCTTTATTGGCCAAGGGAGCCGGCGTACAGCTTCCAGATCATGTGGCCAGCATGACTAAGCCGCTTCTGACGAACCAGAGCAGCGCATGGAAATGCCGTTTACCTTCCCACCGGAGCGGTACCTATTCATCTACTTGCACTTTGACGTGCTTTTGAACTGCTAGGTTGGCAGGAGCAGAGACCGAGCAACGGGAGCTCACCCCGTCATGGTGATTCGAACTGCCGACCTTCTGATTGGCAAATCCTAGGCTCTGTGGTTTAACCCACAGCGCCACCAAATGATTCCAACCTAATCTTAAAGAACTAGCTTTCTGCATGGATGGAATTTTGCATTTGACCACCTGTGGTCAAACACATTCCTGCAAAGGAGCTTAATGGTATTGAAAGTTTGTGGTGGCATCAGGTAGATGGCATTTAAGCATCTTTCAGGCCTTTATTTCATCATTCCAATTTTAGGTAGGGGAGAAATACTGCCATATTTTAGGGGAGGTGGCTGCAGTCTGCCTTGTGGTTCCTTGTTTCTGGTGTTTCTGGCTGTCATTTGGACTTCAGGTAATAAGACTTACGATGAACAGAACAGAAACCCATGCTAAGAAAAAAGAGGTGTGTGTGTGTTGGGGAACCCCCCCCCCATTGCACGCACAGCTGGCTCTGGTTTGTAGTAACTTGTCAGTTGGGCTTTGTGGCTTGCTAGCAAGCAATGCAAGGTGGGGCTCGGCTTTCATCGTCTGCCAAACCCTGAACTCAAGAGGCCTCGCATGTGTAAGAGGCATGGATTGTTCTCGCTCTGCATATGTTTGAAAAGCCCTTGATGGCACAGAGCGATTCTTGTGCAATTTGGGCATGCTGCAGCACAGCAGAACCCAATGTACTTGACAATGAGAAGTGCTCCATGTTCCTCCTCAAAAGGCCGCTCTTGTCTCCAGCAGTGGCTAGCCAGAGAACCTTTGGGAACTCCCTGATATTCTGAAAACTAGCGGTATGCTGCTTTCGAGTAGGGAAGCTCCAATTTTATCTTTCAGAACTTGCTGCTTATCCTGCCTAATGCTTTCAAAAACCCACCTAAGCTAGCTGGTGGCAGTGAATTCTATGCAATTAGTAACTGTGATTTGCATTTAAATGTGTGTCCTTCTGTTTGTCCAGAATCTGCTGCTCAGTCTTATGGGATGGTGTCAAGTTTTAGTGTTTTGAGTCGGAGAGTAGCAATTTATCACTGTACACTCTTTTTGCACCACTGTTGCAGTTTGGGGACCTGTTTTTATTGGGGGAGAGAATGAGGGGGCTTTGGATTCTGCAGACCCAGAGCTGACCTGGGAATATTCTCTTTCAGCCCCTCCGGCCTTTGACTAATTAAGCAATCAGTGGCCTTTTATACTGTGAGAAGGGTATTGTTTTTGTTTGCTCTTATGTTGTTGTTGTTTTTAGTTTTTATATTGCAAACTGCCCTCTAATCCAGGCATAGGCAAACTTGGCCCTCCAGATGTTTTGAGACTACAAATCCCATCATCCTTGACCACTGGTCCTATTAGGTAGGGATGATGGGAGTTGGAGTCCCAAAACATCTGGAGGGTCAAGTTTGCCTATGCCTGCTCTAATCCTAGGATTATAATAATTATTATTTATTTATACCCCGCCCTCCCCAGCCAAGACCGGGCTCAGGGCGACTAACACCAGGTATAAAAATAATTGATTAAAATACAACTTAAAAACAAGATTAAGTACAATATTAAAATGCAGCCTCATTTGAGTAGAAACTCAAAAAAAAATTGGAGATATGAAAATGTCAAATCTTCACCAAGGCCAACTATCCAGACTGGTCCTACATGGGCCAGAAAGAAGCCAGGGAAGTCCCCAAATTGGAGTTCCATCACAGAAGGAGAAAGGAAAAATGAAAGAGGGGGAGGGGATCAAGTTGATTCAAAGCATATTGATACCTCCAGCATATCCCTCCTTGCTTAATGTCTACCCCCCTCAAAAAAATGAAGCAACATCTTTCGTCTTACCAATGATGGCTGCTGTAACAATGTAACAATGACCTCACCAACCTCAATCTGCTCTCAGTCAGCCACACCTGCCTAGATTCTCACTTACAACTATTCCAGGGGTTGGTCCTGGCTGTCAGCCTGCTCTTCCACCTCCATTCTGCCTTTCCTTCTGCTCCACCTTGAAGAGATGATGCTCCATCCCATAGCCATTTCCCCCCCTTATCCAGCTCTGCTGGATAAGACAGAGTTGCCAAAATGGCACATTATCATTCCAGACGTTTGTGCATCATCTGGGCTAATAATAATAATAATAATAATAATAATAATAATAATAATAATAATAATTTTTTATTTATACCCTGCCCTTCCCAGTTCAGAAAACCGGGCTCAGGGCGGCTAACAACAAATTAAAAACACTTGATTGATGCAACAAAAAACAGCATAAAATACAGAGAATTAGCTGTGGGATCCCAGAGCGGGTAATCTTCATAAAAAGGGGAAGGGGAGGGAAGGAAGGGGAATAAAAGATCAGGCTAAGTTCAAATATGATTTCCAGTTCCGCTTTTAATTTCCTTGCAAAAGGAAATATTCCTAGCCACATTTTTTTTTGGGGGGGGGACCAGAGGTGACTCCCTCCAGAAATGGGTTAGGATTCATCTGTACTAGTCAAACATTTACAGGCAAGTAGGTGACACAGAAACCATTCATTGCCAGGTAACTCAAGGAAAACTGCTCTGTCTTTCCCAAGGACCCTTCATTTGCTCCCAGATTGTGTACCATGGCACTGGTCCAGCTCACAAACCTTCATAAACCATGGTTAAAACACACCTGTCTGGGCTGCATTGCTTCTCCCCACTAGTGTGGGAATGAAACGAACCAAAAATCTCTGGCTTAGCACTTGGGACTCCAAGCAAGCCATGATTGGAAAGCCAAGAACAAACCTTGGAGCGAAGCATACCACGATTGCCAAGCTGTACATAAAGATAAACTGAGGGTTGTGGTTTATTTCTCCCCAGGGCTAGTGAGGAGGATAGAGCTGGTGCAATCCGCTCATGCAAAGCAAGCCATGGTTTACTGTGACATGAAACCACAGCCACTGAGTGTATCTGATGCCGTGCCCTCAGTGTTCAAAACTCCCATTGTTCTAAGCACATTTTGTGACAGGGAATTTCATTAGCATGAGCAGTTTCTGATCTCTGGGTGCAGTAAAGGTAAAGGGACCCATGACCATTAGGTCCAGTCGTGGCCGACTCTGGGGTTGCGGTGCTCATCTCGCTTTACTGGCCAAGGGAGCCGGCGTACAGGTTCCTGGGTCATGTGGCCAGCATGACTAAGCCGCTTCTGGCGAACCAGAGCAGCTCACGGAAACGCCGTTTACCTTCCCGCTGGAGCGGTACCTATTGATCTACTTGCACTTTGACGTGCTTTTGAACTGTTAGGTTGGCAGGAGCAGGGACTGAGCAATGGGAGCTCACCCCATTGCGTGGATTCAGACCGCCGACCTACTGATCGGCAAGTCCTAGGCTCTGTGATTTAACCCACAGCACCACCCGCGTCGCTCTGGGTGCAGTACTTGTGCCTAATATTTCAGATTAACACTACAGAGTGGTAGGAAAGGAGGCCATTTTTCTGCCTCCCCACTTCCAGCTACTCCCTCAAGAATGGAAAAGAGACCCTCTTAAGAATATTAGGTGGGTGGGCAGGGGAAGGATTAGACCAGGGGTCAGCAACCTTTTTCAGCGGGGGGGGGGGTCCACTGTCCCTCAGACTTTGTGAGGGGCTGGACTATATTTTGAAAAAATAATAATGAACGAATTCCTATGCCCCACAAATAACCCAGAGATGCATTTTAAATAAAAGCACACATTCTACTCATGTAAAAACGCACTGATTCCCAGACTGTCCGCAGGCCAGATTTAGAAGGCGATTGGGCCGGATCTGGCCTGCGGGCCTTAGTTTGCCTACCCATGCACTAGACCATGTGAAAAACGAACATCATATTTCAGTGCAGTTCGTTCATTTTCAGCTTTGTATCCTTTGTAGAAAAAGCACGCCTAGACATTTTGTTGTTGCGCCCATAACCTAGGTTAAAGGTCCCATTTAGCTCCTAGTTTTCGTATCTCAGTTTCATATCCTCTGGTTTCTCTTCAGATAGTATAAATCTCTCGCCTTTCACATCTCAGTTTCCCCACAGAACAACAAACTGGTGAGTGTTTGATTCTAAGGCGTTGAGAACACTATTTCCCCACCTTCTGTTGATCACGCAGGTTTTGTTAACAAACAATGATGAAGGTGGATTGCGGAATATAATTTGCTTTATTAGGCAATTTCACACTCCCTTGTCTCATTATTTTCTGAATCCCACTTTGCAAGCATTTGGAAAAAAGAGAGCAAAAGATACCGCTAGTTTGAGAGCCGCGGAAACCCCCTAGAGGATTTAGTGTGAGGTAGGGCTGGCAAGGACCCAGTTTTTGCCTTAGCCTAATTATCACCTTTCCACAATAGCCTTGGGAGACAAACCAGATGCCAGGTTTATTTTTGGAGAAGCGGCGTCTAGACATACATAAAAGAAGATTTCTTTCTTTCTTTCTTCTCTCCCTCCCTCCCTCCTCCTCTTCTTCTTGGTTGTTATCCAAGAGCTGTTACGGATGCTGGTATAACCCTAGCTGGAGGCCTCCTGTTACGCACGCTGCTTATCTGTGAACATGCACCTTATTAGAATGAAAGGCTGAACA